TCACTCGACCTCTACAGCTCTGAGCAGATCGTGGCGTTCCTGCTCGGCTCACTCGACCTCTACGGCGCTGAGCGGATTGCAGCGGTCCTGCTTAGGCCACATCTCCCCCGCAGCACCAGACAGATTGCAGAGGTCTCACTTGACCATGGCATTCCTGCTCAGCCCAGTTGTCCGCTACAGCACTGAGCAGACCGTGGCGTTCCGGCTCAGCCCACATCTCCCCAATAGCACGGAGCAGATTGCGGAGTTCTCACTCGGCTCACTCATCCATTACAGCACAAAGCAGATTTTGGCGTTCCTGTTTGGCCTGTTTGTCCGCTACAGCACTGAGAGGATCGCAGCATTGACGCTCAGCTGCTAAAAGTCATCACTCTAAAAATCCTCTTCTTTTTTTAAGGGTGGCTTGATCATGTAACAAGGACTGCCCTCTTACGCTAAGAAATAGCCTCTTTTTTGAGCGGATCTCCAGGGTCTGCTGTCCCCGACGGTCCTCTGCATCTATTTCGGAAAAGAGCTGTATCGTCCGTTCCTCCCTCTCTGATCGACTGGTTCTGTCTCTCTCTGTCTCTCCAGGCTCTGCCCTATTTTGACCGCCTGGATTACGTGTCGATGATGTGTAACGAGCAGGCCTACTCGCTGGCTGTGGAGAAGCTGCTGAACATCCGCCCGCCCCTCCGCGCCCAGTGGATCCGAGGTAATGTGTGAGCTGGTGTGTGGGGAGAGTACTGGTGCATCATCCAAGTGGGGCTGCACACTGGTGGCGGTGGAGGGGATCCCCATGACCTGTAAACCGCTTTGAGTGGAGTGTCCAGAAAAGCGCTATATAAGTGTAAGCAATTATTATTATTATTATTATTATTATTATTATTACAGTCTTGTGATGAATGAAGTGAGTCCTAAATAGCCATGCATATGTTCCCATTTTGCTAAGTATCTGCAGAAATACTAATAAAATAATAATCACTTTAAATAGATCCTTTATTGTCCACCACTGTGAAAATGTCTGTGGCTTCTCCCATTAAAGTACAGAATACAAGCAAAACATAAAAGTCACATATAATCACATGACGTACATGGAATTTACAACAACAGTATATAATACCTAGATAAATAGGTGGGGGGGGCTACATTTACATACATTCACAGAGCAGTTTTATTGCAGAGGGGACAAAGGACTCCTGATATGTTTCTATTTGAATCTGGTACCCTGTCCCGCCTCCCTCATGGGAGTATTATGAGTTGAGAATGGAGTGGGTGTGTGGACTCAGCAGTGATGTCCCTTGCCCTTCTGGGAGCTGTAATATGATATAAATAGGTGAGGAACCTTGTTTAGTACAAAAGCCCGTATCCTCAGCTAAAGCAAGAGAATATCAAATCGGACATAAAGGGGCAGAGATGCACATTGATATATTTTATAATTTTTATACCTCTCTGATTTCGAACGCGTCGCAAAACACTTCCTAACAACCCAAAGGGTGAGGTTTTGGCCCGAAAGTGGGCTTTCACTCTGACCTTTAGGCAGCATGTCCCGTTGTTCCACGCAGCGCAGGAAGAAATGGCGGCGAGATCCCTGCCCAGGTTCCTGTTAGCGGCGGGGATCTTGTCGCGCTGTCCCGCGGGTCGTGCTGGGAAAAGCGGAAAGTGATTTGGGTTTTCCTTCTCCCCCCCCCGCCCCCGTGATGCAGTGCTGTTCGGGGAGCTCACGCGGATCCTCAACCACATCATGGCGGTCACCACGCACGCGCTGGACATCGGCGCCATGACGCCCTTCTTCTGGATGTTCGAGGAGAGGGAGAAGGTGAGGTGTGGGAATGGGCTTGCGAGCCCGGTGGGTCTTTAGCAGTCAAAGGGGAGCTGCAGCGCTGTTTTTAGATTCCGGGGTTCGAGAGAAATGGCATTGATTGTGCACTTCAAACCGTAATAAAAGTCAAATGTGCACGGTAACGTATAACACCTCCAGTTTCCATCACAGAATAAACACAATTTCCACGTAGCGCAACACCATGTTCTGCAGTTCAGAAGGAGGCAACAAAACCTCCAGTGAGGTGAAGCAGGCTTGTGAATCCATCATTTTTAATTCAATAGAAATATTGCTCTCGTCTCTGTTTTTGCTGACAAATACTGCTTATTGGTTAACTGCATGCAGATCACGTTGGAACATCCTTCCAGTGAAATGTCTGCTGCACCACCTGGACTTAGTCACTCGTACATCACAGTACATCAGTCATTCAAGTGACTCTTTTAACTTTATTGTTCTGTTATTAAAATCCTCTTACCAGCTTGGATAATGTATGTGTTTGCAATAATGTGGCTGTTTGTAAGGAAAGACATGTTGATATTTCTTTTTTTAAAAGTCACAATGTTTCTAACGTGTGTAGTAGTCACTTCATATTCATGCTTGCAAAGATAAACGTTTGATGACCTCGGCTTCTGCTTCCAGATGTTCGAGTTCTACGAACGCGTGTCGGGAGCCAGAATGCACGCCGCCTACGTGAGACCGGGCGGAGTCCATCAGGTAAAGGAAAAGTTCCAGCTCCATTGTTGTCAGCTTCACTTGTATTTAGACAACAGTGAGGATTTTAAGAGAGCAGCAGTCTCAGACAAGCTTGTCTGGGCTACATTACCCAGAATACCACAGGGAGTGAGCTACAGCCCTCAGTCACCTGACCAGTTCCTGGAAGACAACTGGTGAGGTGACTGAGGGCAGCAGCTCATTCCCCCCAGAGCTTTCTGGGAAATGTAGTCCACATAAGAGCCGCCATCTTGGCTGAACTTGCTGCCCTCTTACATAATATAGGTTACAAGCAGTAAAAGACAATATTCGATTACTGTTTTAATTTTTCAGGACATGCCACTGGGCCTGATGGATGACATTTACGAGTTCTGTAAGAACTTCTCCATACGGATTGATGAGGTGGAAGAGGTATGCGCTCGTTTCTGCCAGGAAGGAATGTCAGTAAGGTATTAAGAGGCAGGTTTTCCCCCTGTCCTGAGAAAAACAGACAGTCGCGTCGGAGAGCACTGGCGCTGCCGAATGCTTTCTTCCCAGCAGTGGTTCATCAGAAACGTCTTTTATAATTGTCTCCAAATGCGAAGCGTTGACTGTTTGGCTAACCTTGACTCGACAATCCCGGGCTCTTGAAACTGGCTGCTGCAATGCTGGATAGCCAAACGAGTCTCAAAGCCGCGTCCATCAAGCTCGGCAAACACCGCGTGAGGGACGGCGTCTTGGAAGCGTCTCCGATTCCCGGACGTGTTCGAGGGCGCTCACCCCTGCCTCTGTTCCAGATGCTGACGAACAACCGGATCTGGAAGAACAGGACAGTGGACATAGGCGTGGTGCCTGCAGAGGACGCTCTGAACTGGGGCTTCAGGTAAAGGGCCTTTCGCCTGAGGCGCTGCCTGGGGGCGGGGGTGGGCTAGAGATTGGGGGCACACTGTAATGGGACCTCAGATACTCCATATTAATAACGATTTGCCTCCAGGATCTTTTCTCCAACCCCAGCTTGCTTCTAAGGACATTGTAATGTCTGTTGAGATAGATCTCACTCCCTCATCAGCTGCTTTCTGTCCTTCAAGAAGTGTAAATGTTCTACTCCATTCCCGAGATGGAGTGGCACTGGTTTGAAAGGGTGCGCTGCCCATGTTTTCAGCAGCAGGCGGCGCTGTTTCCCCAGCCTAGGTTAGGACTTCAGCCAGATAACTGAAGATGCGCATGACTCTTCACAGTCTCTCTGCTACCAAGAGAACACAGTGAGTGAGATCAGCGGAATTCGACACGAAGACACGCCTGTCTTCTTCAGCAGCTGTGTGGAGTAGTGGGCAGGGCTCTGGACTCGTAGCTGTAGATAATGGGCTGGAAATCACACTTTTAACATAATCTTGTGCAACAGCACCCAGCTGTATGAATAGGATCTCATCAGGTCCGTCTATACATCCATCCAACCATCTTCTAACCTCTTTATCCAGTACAGGATCACAGGGGAGCCCTATCCTTATCCTGTCAAGTAATAGGCACTAGGCAGGGTAGACCCTGGACGTGATGCCAGTCCACTGCAGGGCACACACCGACACAAACACTCACACTCCCTCACACCAGGGCCAGTTTTCTCAGAAGCCAATTAACCTGTTAGGAAGTCTTTAGACCGTGGGAGGAGACTGGAGCACCCAGAGGGAACCCACGCGAAAGCAGGGAGAACATGCAAACTCCACACAGACAGCACCCCTGGTCTGGAATTGAACTCGGGGCCCCAGCACTGTGAGGCAGCAATGCTAATCATTGCACCATTGTGCCGCCCTCTGGAAGAGCAGTATTGTGGAAAAGCTGAAGAACCAACCAGTGCTCTCTGTATGTTTATTTTCCTGACATGGTCAGGCTGTCAGGCACCAACGCCCCTCACCATAATGCCCCACTCTAGGTCAATCACTGTGCAAATGAGCATTTAGCATTTGCATTAGAACGTTAAATAATTTCCTGAAGTTTATTAATTTAGGTTCTGAGATTAATACTCTACTGTCTCTTAGCCTGACCCTTCTCTCTCCCCTTGTCCCAGCGGTGTGATGCTGAGAGGCTCGGGGATCAAGTGGGACCTGCGCAAGTCTCAGCCCTACGACGTCTATGACCAGGTGGAGTTCGACGTGCCCATCGGGACCAACGGAGACTGCTACGACAGGTACCCAGCCCAGCAGGAGAGGAGGGGCGGCGGGGGTTCCTAATATTTTGGCCTCCGTGAGCATGTCTGTTCCTCAGGGATCGGAGCCTTCCAGGGGTTGTTCAACCTGTAGGAGCTTCTCCGTGTTGAAGGTTTGCTCTGTGTGCAGGGCTTTCTTGTGCCAAGGACACGGTGTATGGACACAGATCTGACAGACGGGCTGAGCAAGCACACTGTTGTCGTCCATATAAGGAAGTCTGCAGGAAGGATTAATAATGATAATTGCTTACACTTATATAGCGCTTTTATATAGCGACACTCCCCTCCACCACCACCAGTGTGCAGCCCCACCTGGATGATGCTCCAGTTCTCTCCCCACACACCAGCTCTCAGTGGGGAGGAGAGCAGAGTGATGAAGCCAGTTCAGAGAGGGGGATTATTAGGAGGCCATGACTGGTAAGGGCCAGGGGGAAATTTGGCCATGATGCCGGGGTAACACCTCTCCTTTTTTCGAGAAACGCCCTGGGATTTTTAATGAGCACAGAGAGTCAGGACCTTGATTTTACGTCTCATCTGAAGGACGGCTCCTGTTTACAGTCTAGTGTCCCCGTCACTATACTGGGTCATTAGGACCCACACTGACCGCAGGGTGAGCGCCCCCTACTGGTCCCACAAACACTTCTTCCAGCAGCAACCTGAGCTTTCCCAGGAGTCTCCCATCCAGGTACTGACCAGGCTCACAGCTGCTGAGCTCCAGTGGGGCTGCCAGCTGGGAGCTGCAGGGGGATATGGCTGCTGGCAAAAGTTAAATGTTTAACTCTCGAGTTACTGATCCTAGAATACCAGTGTCTCCAGTGCCAATCAGGGCGTTAAGAGGGGATTCCTCTAAACATATTCCATGCTGAAAGGAAAAGAAAAGAGACGTTTTGGCTGTGGAGCCTTCTTCAGGCGTGAAACGTTTCTGTTCTAAAAGCCTCAAAGATGCAATATTACCAATCGCAAGCAGATCAGATAGGGAGAGGGTCACTCTCCCTCTTTCAAACCTTCGCCGGCCGGCGCCGGCCGCCCTCGCCGCGATCCGAGCTTCTGATGGCGCCGCTCTGCTCCCAGGTACCTGTGCCGGGTGGAGGAGATGCGGCAGTCCCTCCGGATCATTCTGCAGTGCCTGAACAAGATGCCCCCGGGGGAGATCAAGGTGGACGACGCCAAGGTGGCCCCGCCCAAGCGGGAGGAGATGAAGGTGCGTCGCTGCCGAGATCCGCACTTGAACGGGGGGGGGGGGGTTCGATTCCCACCCGCCCCCAGTCACTGCCTCAGGCCTGGGCAGGAAAAACCTGCAGCGCTCTTTTGAGATTTCGGGGTTAGGATAGCCTTCAAAGAATCAGCATTGATGAGCGCATGCCAACAATAACATGATCGTAAAAGTAAAATGCTCACAGTAATGTAACGTCCCAGAATTGGGAACCACCTGCTCTTAAAGGAAGGTGAATACCTGAAGCTGGTCCCAGAGGCCTGCACACCTGGTTTTTCGTTCCAGCCCAGCTGAAGAGGAGAGGCAGGGGTGGCGATCGGAGATATTTGCTGAGGTCACAGGGTGGGAGATGGGGGGGGAGTCCGTGCTTACCTGTGTGTTTTGCTTTTCAGACCTCGATGGAGGCGCTGATCCACCACTTCAAGCTCTACACCGAGGGCTACCAGGTGCCCCCGGGGACTACGTACACGGCCATAGAGGCCCCCAAGGTCAGTGTGGTTGGTGATAGAGGGGGGCCGGGTGGGACCGACTGCACCTGCCAGCCGATCGAATGGCTCAGTTGGTACCAGCCAGCAGGGACCGCCCGGCCCATTCCTTCACGTTCCATCTGCAGCGGGTCCCCCCCTCCCCCAGTCCAGGCTCTGATCACAAACGGATCGGGCGCTGCCTGCCCACAACGCAAGAGGCCGATCAGTCTTTGCACAGCCTCTCCCACCCCCGACCGCCTCCTACCCCTCCCTGGCCAAACACAGCTGTGAAGCGCTTTTGCAGCCGATCCGATCTGCAGTTCCCCGGCTGGGAAGAGCAGGCGCGCCTGCACACAGTCGATGCCCTGTCTCTCTCTGGTCTTAGTCAGTGACTCTCGTAGATCAGCCCGGACCCAGATCTAGGTCAGGATCTTCGTCTTGTAGCTAAAGCATTAACAATTCTCGTACTTTAGCGCTCCTGTAAGATTGTGCATGGATTTCTGCCTTTGTAATAAAGACCTTATTTAGCTGTCTGTGTAAGTTCCTGCTTCTTAAGGTCCTTTTTTTAAATTTATTTGCCCTGTGGGAAAAAAAGGGAGTTAAAGCGCTTATAGAACAGTTACAAACTAGAGTTGGCCCATTTAGACTGTTTGGTTGTTAGTAGATAACTGATCTGAGGATCTCACCCAGCTGTTTAGTAGAGGAAATCGAGGTATCGGCATTCACACCTCACTCTCACCACCCAATGTCGTTCCACACTCCCACCACACTCTGTGTAAAGACGTGCCCACCCACCCATTCTCGGTTTTAAATGCGCTTCCACTTCGTTTCCAGTTGCGTTCTTTGGTTAGTGTTTCACTGTTCGGTCTTCCAATGCCAAATGCTGCTGCCGATCAAGAAAATGGAACAAATAAATGTCGACTCCTCTGCCGGTTGTCCTGTTTGGAGACTTGCGCCAGCAACTGCCGGGCCCCGTCGCTCTGCGCAGTGAGCGTTGGTCAGAAATCCAGTGACGGAAGGTTGTCCCGTTTTCCGCAGGGGGAGTTCGGCGTGTACCTGGTTTCGGACGGATCCAGCCGCCCTTACCGCTGCAAGATTAAAGCCCCTGGGTTCGCTCACCTGGTAAGGGCACAGGGTTTCCTGCTTGTCAGCCCTGCAGCGTTCACGCTTCCTTTAGCGAGAGCCGTAGACCAGCCCCGCGGTCTGTATCGCACTGCATGACTGCGATCTCCTGTCATTTCAGGCTGGGCTGGACATGATGGCGAAAGGGCACATGCTTGCAGATGTTGTAGCCATAATTGGTAAGTTGAGCTGTATTTCTTTGTGGGCTATATCCCAGCATTCTTTGCACCTCCCGTAAACGTCATGATTATTTGCCTGTTTCCTTAAATTGGGAGAACATCCAGGCACCCATTTTCTAACCCACATATCCAGTACAGAGCCACAGCCTATCCCAGCAAGCAGCTGGACAGCACATACAGACACAGAAACACACAGCCGCCTTCCCAGAAGCCAGTTAACCTACCAGCGTGTCTCTGACTGAGGGAGGAAATCAGAAGACCTAAAAGAGACCCTTGTGAACAATGGGAGAACATGCAAACTCCACACAGATAGTACCCCAGGTCTGGAATTGAACCCAGGGCCCCAGAGCTGCAAGGCTGCAATGCTTACCACTGCACCCCTGTGCCGCTCTCTGGGAGAACAGTTTTGTTGAAATGCTAAAGAACCAGCAGCACTCTGTGTGGGTTTATTTCCCTGACATTGCGCAGTGATGTCCTGTTCTTTCGAAGACGTACAGTTTCTTTGCTGGGCAACAGATTATGAACTCAACTCGGGCCGAGACTCTGTGCATTGGCTGCACTGAAGTCTTAAAACTCAGTGCCATCATTCTGAAGACCTTCAGCTGAAGCTTTTAATGAGTTTAAAACTTGTGTTACAAAACAGTTCAACTCCCCTGAAAACCCCAGTACCACAGATCTGATGTGGTCTGTTTTGTAATATAGCTGCTGACAGAAACAGAGTTAAACATACAACAACAAAAAAAAGGAGTGGAAGAAAATTTAAAAATCTGCAAAATTCTTACTATCAATTTTACTCTTCCTCTTGCAGGAACCCAAGATATTGTGTTTGGAGAGGTGGATCGTTGAGCGAAATTGACTTCTTCCGCTCCAGTGCGAGCGGCCAGTCAGTCCTTTCTCCTCATGCCAAGAGTGAGCAGTATGTGAATACACGCAGGAGCATATCTAATAAATATTTTCTTTTGTGCCGAGTGAAATGGTCTTGAGCCTTTGCTTCTGTGTCTTAATTTGACTTTTGTTTTTTAGTAGGTAAGAAAAGAGGGCCAAGTACTGCTGGTTCTATTTCAATGATGGTTGTATTTTAATAATAATAAAAATTGCTTACACTTATATAGC